TTTTTTTTTTTTTTTTTTTTTTTTTAAGTCAGTAGTTGGTAGCAAGGAAAAAGCTTGCTGAACTACTGGAACATAATGTGCTTTTCCCCACCCCCATCAACTCCAACTTCTAAATAGCGTTTGTACATTAACTGAACAGTACTTTGAAATTTGGTTGCAAGTTAGGTATTGAAACTGAAGTTAGTGTATCAAGAATACAGTTACTATTATTATGTTTCAACAGACCGACACCACTGAGTTAGAAAAGACACTAAGTTTTCAGAGAACTAAAGTATTTTGTGGCACCACATGAAAGCTAACACTGTTATCTATCTTTATGCTAATAGTTTGTGCTACTTGCCCGAATTCTAAAAATTCTGCAACTTAAGGGACAGCATGCCTGTAAGTACAACTCTATTTGATGTTAAAAAGCAAGACTTGAGGCTGATGATCAGAAGGAAGGCCACAGATAACAGCATAAAACCATGTGGAAGTAAGAGGAACAAAGCCTGCCATTATTGAGTTTGTATCCATAAGTCTTCTATAAAACATTTACCTTTTTTTTTTTTTTTTTTTTTTAAGTGCACTTTCCTTCTTTTGAAAAGGAACCCCATTATTTCCGGATATAAAGAACTCATTCTTCCCAGAACAAAAAAGTTTTCCCTCCCACTGCAATTTTGAAGAAGGCAACTGAAGAGAGCTAACTATCAGACTTTGACTGCAGACTATATTATATATACAGACACCTATGCATTTCAGTTGGTTAAGTTAATTTAACAGTTAAATCTGTTATCAGCAACTTTAAGAGTTGTAGAGAACACTAGAATTAGACTTTATAATTAATGCTAGTGTAAAAACATTAGATATAACACCCCCAACCCTCCTGTCATAGGTATATAAATTTGCTGGAGAAGGAAGAAAATTTAGATTATGTTCTACTCTCTCATCTTTAGCAAAATATCATATATTAAGAAAAGCAGGAATACCGTAAAGTTAGAGAGGATTCTTACTGAAGATGTTAATTTCGGATAACGTTTTCACTCCACACCACAAATAAAATGCATAAATGTTGTCAGATGTGCAAATGTGTTCCTTTAATGAAGAAACTAAATTCCATAATTATTTGTTCTGGTAAGAAAATTATCCATCTACAAAGATGGTTATCATTCCAACAGCAGGTTCTATTTCTAGATTTGGATAGAAACGTCATTGCTGATCTCCTAATGCTCAAAGTTATACAGCAAGTCATCTCAAACTGATACAAAAGTCATTGAACTGTTTTATCTAGAGGAAGACAAGAAATATAATTTTACATTGTTAAGAAAAACTAGATCTGTGCATTTTCCCCCGCTTCATTTCTGCAACACAAGACCTTTTTTTGCTTCTGCTTACCATAGGCTGTTCCTGGGCCAAATTCATTCCCAGCATCAATCATATACTGGCCTAATAACTCTGGATTATTCATACGACTTGGTGCTTTGCGGTCCAGCTTCTCATAGACAAATTCTTCTATTCTGGCATCTAAAAAAATTTTTATTTGAAATAATTACTGTCATTCAAAACACGAGTTAGAAATAGAAACAAAAAAAAAAAGGAAAAGGAAAAAGAAAAAGAAAAAAGAATTTCAAAATCCGGACATTACACTCAACATTAAGTGAACAATGTTACGCTGAAGATACCATTCTTGGAAACTGACTGTATTCCGTGTTTGTCGTGCTATGTTGAAGTGTTTCTTAGAGCCATCTGTGAAAGTGAAAAATTATATTTTTCCTCTCCCTCCTGTCAGCATATTTATACAGTTTTTCAAAGTTTTGTCCAGAAGTCTTCATTGTAAGAGCACAATAGAACACTTCTCCTTAACAAAAGCAATCAGTCTTTTTTTTCCCGCTCCAGGAAAAAATTGTGAAAATTGTTCACTAGAATTAGTCGTGTAGGAATTAAGTTCAACAACTACTGTAGGTTCCCTATTAAGATATTCTGAAAGTTTGGTAGCCCCAGAAAATATATCCTCTCTTTTCCACTCCTCCTGCTTCCTTGAAATGCTCTGAAACAAACCACTAAAGATATTAGAAAGTGTTTCATTTCGTATTCCCATCTTCCTTAGTTTGAGCAACAAAATTATCAAAAAAAACTTGTTGTGACTATGATCATTGATATCCATCTATCATGATATTAAGCCACAGTATGCTTCTTAAGTGAAAAAGCCTCACAGACATAAACAGGGACACTGTTAATTACAATAGCAAACTCCTCAGATACAACGACCGATTTCTCTGACCAATTGTTTTGGCTTCATAATTAGTTCACTTCATTTATGCAGTCAGTATGAACTAATTTCAGCCTGCAACAGTACAGACAACCACAAAGAAGCTCTCCAATGAACAAACCTGCTGCTTTGATGCAACCAAAAATAACACTGTTAATTAGACAACTTTCACCAGCACTGGATTAAATAACTACTCTCTCATGAAGGTTACAAAAATTAACCAGAGGCAGACAAACATGGGTACCAGTGCATCCCCTGGCACCAAAGGTGAACCAAAAATGATCCAAATTCATTGGTTTTTCTTTACCCATAATATTTATTTTTGACTAAATGACAAAAGAACTGAAAAGTAATCTAAAATTATTGAACTATTACATGGGTCTGACCTAAAGGTACAGTTAAAGATGTGACTGAAAGTCGTTTTTCCTCCCCCAGACAGGGTTGCTCCATTAACAACCAAAAGAAGCTCTCTACAGCACGTGATAGTCCTCCCAAGCAGGCTGCCAAACAGCTGAAGTTACATTCACAGACGAAGACCACTGCTTAACGCTGAGTATTTTTAGCCATCAGAAAATTGACTGGTCAGCATAACTGAGATACTACCATATATTATTCTTCTACTGAATCTTCCTCACACAGTTCTACCAGCCTACAGTTAGTGATTCAATATTCTACAAGTTTCTGAAAAAGTCAATACATATTGCTAATACTGAATTAAATGAACAAGATGACTATTTCCTCTGGCCTAGATAAAAGTAGAAATTTTAGCTGGAATATTCTGTAAGTTCTATTGCATCCTTCCCACGGGACTAGTTGTTTTGGTTTTTATGTTTGTTTTTAAATACTGCTTTTACGCAACTAAAGGATGCAACAAACTTCCAAAATAATACTTCAAAGATCAGCATTACAAAGAATTTATCTATTTGGCATTACAGAAGTGCTATCAGTGTATGATTTACCTGTACTAATAAATCCTAACTCAGTATGTCGCTACAAGGAGAATATTTATGTTTTCAGTGCAGAGGTATTAGCGGTATTACAATTTTATCATTTGAGCAAACCTAAAGGAGGTTTAGATTTTTTTTTGGTAATAGTTCGCCCAGTGGCTAGCGACCAGGTCTTGACTTGAAATCTAGATCTATACACTAAGCAAATTCCTATAGCTGCCAACTCTAGTACAATTGCCACAAACGGCACAGATAACTGTAGGATGTGAGTCAGAAACTGGTATCCTCAACATTACTACTTACAGCAGCAATTTCACAAACAAATAAAATTAACACACCAGAAAACGACATTTCTTCTGCCTATGTTTTCTCTGTTATTGTTACAGTAAGAGATTCACCAGTGATGAAAGCATATTTGAAACTTTATTGTATTGCCTAAGTATGGTATATAAAATGCTGGCAAATGATAAAGACAGCATCTGGAGAAAATCATTCTTTAGTAAAGCAATTGTTAAAGACAAGCATTTCAGTTCATCTTGCCTGCTTCAAGCTGAATTGTATTGTGCAGACAGTTTAAAGTAATGAAATAGTAATGACATTTCTTGAGCCGCTGCATCTACTCCATGAAGAACTTCACAGTTCTTACAGCTACCTAAGATTTCTGGAATTAGAGTGGGAAATTCAATGAAACAGGGAACAACTCAAAAAACAGTCAACCTGAGACCGACCAGAGTATGGAACCAATGCTATAGTTTAAAGAGCTCTGTCTAAAGCTTTTCCCATTCGAAGGGTTAAAGAAGTACCAGCAATTGGTACAGTGTCTCTGATACTGAGTAGCTCTTCAAAATGTGCTTTCCCTAACTCCAGCCTTCAAATTTTAAAACTGCTATATTTAGTCATAACTGATGCAATACCTATTGCAGTAAACATTTACATTGGCAAATCTATTAATTCAAAAGTTGCAAACAAAAACTTGAAGGGCTCCTTACTTGGATTTGGCTGCAATAATACTTCTGTTTGTTTCATTATTTTTTCTGTCCACAATTTAGTGCATTCTGCTTTGCTGAGAAGGTTCTCCAGGTGAGCATCCAGTTCAGTCTTCTCTGCTTGACCAAGCTTTTCTTCCGTGAACTATGAATTAGTCAGACAGGGTGAAAATACTCAGTTCACAGAAATCATTTCCCAGGACAAGTTTAAGACAGTAACTATTCACTCATATTAGTTGCAGATCATATTTTCAAAGATATAATCGTTATCCAGTCATCAATAAAAATCTAAGGATAAATTTGAAAGTTGTTAAGTTCAACAACACACCCTTACTATCAGGGAAAAAAAAAAAAAAAAAGAGGCGGGAGGGTGTTAATCAGACCAAGACAAGGAAGGTAATTTACAACATTATGAAGAAATCCTCTGCTCTACTTGGTACTAAGAGTTCTCACTTGAAGCATTTTGTCCAATTTTGCATAGTGCTCCTTGAAACATGAGCCAAAAGGAAAGAGAGTCCAGAGGTAACGAAGGCAATTAAAAGATTACTTCAATCTTGTATATTTTGTAATTAAGTTTGTCCCTTCTGCCACAGTAAAGCCTGAAGACACAACAGATTCTCATTGCAGCTACCTTTAACATGTTTAAAAAAAAATGTTGTCCTGTCCACAGCAAACAGGACAAAAAGTAGTGAGTTTAAAGTTCAGCATGAAGATTTAAATTAGAATTACACATTAGAGAAAGCTTTTAAAGACAAGGATTAAAAGCTAAAATAGACTTCCCTGGGAAGTTGTGGAATATACATCTTCGGTGGTAGGGGGTGTTGTGCTTTTTAGAATAGGACAAATCAATGTTTTATGAACTGCTGAGATATAACTGATCCTGTTATGCCTTATAGAAACAGTAAGATGACCTCTGCTGTTCTCTTCCAAGCTGTGTTTTCAGTGACAATGAAATACAATGTAACTCCATTTAGCTAAATAAATCCAGCAGGCAATTCATTTCACTTGATATTAAATTCATGCCAACTCTTATTAATCCACAAGCAGTTTGTACTTCAATCCCAGTTCTCTGGGAGAGGGGGAAACCACGCGTTTCACATCAGGGAACCAAGCAAAACCGGAACTGAGGGTTTTGCCTGTCTCTCTTCAGAGCAGTAGTTCCTCATGACAATTATGATCTCATCACTTGACAGCCTGTTCAAAGTCAGGCATTTTCAGAAGAACCTGGCTTATGATTAAATCCCTATCAAGCCTCCCAATTAAGAACATAATAGGGCTGGAAGCATTTTTGACTGTCGAACTTCATTCTTAACAAGTTCTTTGGTGGGGTATTTAAACTTGCAGTAAGAAACAAGAATGCAATACAAGTAAATTGCATTGTCCAAGTTTGTTTTAATTTCCATCACACGTAGAATAAAACCAACTTTGATAGCATGCACATCTGAAGTCTAGATAAACGCTGCGGCATTCGCAGTTCTACATAAAAGCAAACTGCCTTCGTGAGAAAGTTCAGTTGTAGTATAGGGAAGAATGGAATTTATTTATGGATGTATTACTAGTACTGTTTAAAAGGCTCTTTAAAAAGATGTCAGATATTGTAAGATGTTCTCAAAAACTTTGTACAGATTCACCATAATACAATATTAATGGTTTTGAAATTATTTTTTACTAATTAGAGAAGAGTATTTGTATATAAAATGGGATTTCCTATCAATATTTCCATAAATCTTCTCAGCAGTGTGAAGATTGCTTAGTGAAGATCGCAATGTTAGATTTCACATATACACTTAAAGAAAAAACAATTTTAGCGATACCGAGCAGCATGGTAAATAGTAGTTTGACAGAAGTATGGTTTCCAGCATCAGTGTAACACAACAATGCTGTCACTCTGATTTCCCATCTCAGTTACCCTGAAACCTAAATTTGAACTGGTCTTTCTGTTTTACATCCTTTTTCAAACTCCGTTCCTTAAGGATAAGAACAAAATAAGGAAGGTGGTGCTATGAATCAAGAATTTTTCTTCTGCTGAGAAAAACTGTTCCAAGATAAGCAGATACTAATGATTTTCTACTTTGATTAGAGCTCTAAAAGTTTTGTTTTCCTTTTTATTAAAGCTTAAAACATGTCATACAGAGATACTTAATGCAAACACTTGCTGGAACAAATCATATCAGTAAGCCATCTAATCCATCCACCTATCTTCATTAAATTCAAAATATATACACAAGTTGCCTAAATGTGACCAGCTCATGCAGAAGGAAATTGTACTGTTTTGTATACAACTGGGTTATCACAGCCCAGTTGACATTTCAAGTCTACACCACAAAATCACTAGAAGGAGGAATTACATTACGATAAGCCTCTAACTTCAGGTAGAAGTCACGAACTATAAAAGTGTTTCTGCTACCAAAGAGTTTAAAAGCCCAGCTCGTTCCCCGACCACTACGCAGGCAGCTTGTTGAGTACAGAACCTGGCGAGAGGAAGGGCTCACATTCCTATTACAACACTCTATGGCATTATTTATTTCACCTCAAATACCACTAACTATAACCATTTGCTGCTTTGTTCCACAAATTGCAACTACTGCAAGACTGACTGAGAACGACTCCTTCAAAGGATTTTCTGCCTGCCAGGAGGAAGGGTAGGCTTTGGATGAAGATGGCCAGTAGGCTTGATTTTTCTGTAGATTACTACTAACTAGAATATACCGTGTTCAGACTGCCATAATCTCATCCACAGGAGGAACAGGTTTCCTGGAACACGTACAACAGGTAGTTTTAGGTAAAACAGCCTCAATCCCCTTGTAACAGAAAAGTCTGACAAGCCTGTGAAACACTAACAAGATGTTCACCATCTTGTAAACAGCTCAAGTAGAGTTGAAATGGAAATTTTAAGTGGTTTTCCTACATACCATTTTATGCTGCTGAAATGTTTCATAGGGTTTGGTGGGGTTTTTTGTTTCTGATATCCCAAAGCAATTAACGTCAGGTCAAACCATGTCATCCAACGATGCCTGAACGTAAGAGTTTAACTCAATATACAGAACTGTAATTTTTACTGGAAGACACAAAATCTACACCCAGATGATATTAAAAAAATACACAAAATTATTACCCCTTAATATTATCTGTAGGCCTTACATAGTAACTTAAAAAAAAACAGGGGAAGCAGCAGTAGAATACAGAACATGAGTTACTCAGATTATAAGAATATGTTAGGGATTTGCTTCTCGCCCTCAATGGCTTCATTAAACTTCTCGTTTTAGAGGAAAGTGGCAGCTGTTAGAGCAAAATTATTACTTCCACATTTCCACTGAATTTTAGTTTAGATTAAGCAGATAACTAATGTAGCTATTCAGATGTAAACCAACAATGCAGATAGAGCATAATGGAGTAAACCACAGTTCACACCACCTTTAAACCATGACACACTGCAGGAAACTACATTAGATTTAGTGCAATAAACTGATTTACATGTAAAAAGTCAAGATAAAAGAGACGAAATCACAAGGTCCTATCACAGGATCTTACAATAAAGGGTGAACTGCATCTCCCTTTTTTCCTTGTCCAGCAAGAAAAGGAAGAGATGGTCTGGGAAACGTGTAGACCTGGAATGGAAAGTCCTCCATCACAAAGAGAAGCCACGACGACTGCTTTAAGTTCATTTAAATTTGAACAACAATGTTTTCTGACGAGTTTGCACTTTCAGAGCTCTGCTGTGCTGCTGATGATAGGTTCTGCTTGAGTATTGAGATTTAGGGCAATACATCAGACCGATCAGATCAGATAACAACTTTAATCACGTTCCAAACCTGACTGTGACCCAGCGAGAACTCATGAGAAACCAAAGTGGATTACTACGCGCTGCTTGGATGTCCACCTCCCGACAGGAAATCTGTTCAGGTTTGATTATATAAAGAAAGGGAATTACAGCTCAGGACAACAGCTAAGCAACAAAAGCCAATTATAGTGCCCTTAGCGTGAAGAAAGGGAAAGACCGATTCAGAAACAATGGGCTATCAAACAAGCTTAAAGACGATACTAAAGCTCAAACAAAACCAAAAAGCCTAAGCAGACAGACACTTTCACGTGTCACATCAGAGCTCGAATTTTACCGATCAGGCAGCAAGACACATTTTTAGCGGCCAGTAGAAACACAAGCTTATGTCAGGCGAGACACACCTTTGTCCTTTTCACACAGAAATTCCGACCCTATCTCCTCGCAGCTGATGCCTGCTCAACTCGTCCCCCCCAGCCTAGGAGCCTTTTCGCCTCTTTGCCTGTCCTGACCTTGGGCTGCCTCAGCCTCCCCCCGCCAGCGCCCCGAGGCCAGCTGTTTTGCAACCAGCCTGGACGAAATCCCCGGGTCCCGCCAAGCCCAGGGCTAGCTCGGGACGCGCGGGGGAAGGAGCTGGCTTGAGAAGGAGGCACCTCACAGCAGCACACCGCTGCCCGGCCAGGCCAGAGGTCTGGGCTCACCCCTCGCCAGCGCGGCCGGGCCTAGCGCTCCCTCAGACGTGGAAGCCCGC